ATTTAGTGGAGAAAGGAAGTAAGGCTAGAAGGTGGAGGGAGGGAGGGAGGAATTATTTTTCTGGTCTCTTTGCAGACCTTACAACTTCACCTCCTAAGTATACTTCAGAATAAGTTTTATCCTTACCTTTTTTTTTTTTTTTTAAGACAGAGTCTCACTTTGTCTCCCTGGGTAGAATGCCCTGGCATCATAGCTCATAGTAACCTCAAACCCTTGGGCTCAAGCGATTCTCCTGCCTCAGCTTCCCAAGTAGCTGGGACCACAGGCAACCACTACAATGCCGGACTATTTTTAGAGATAGGAGTATCACTCTTGCTCAGGCTGGTCTCAAACTCCTGAGCTCAGGCTATCCATCTGCCTCAGCCTCCCAAAGTGCTAGGATTATAGGCATGAGCCACTGCACCTGGCATCTTATGGCAATCTTGAAAGGTGCTTACTATATCATCCTCATTTCATGGTTGAGGAAATTGAGGATTAAGTGACTTGCCCAAGGTTCCACATCTGGTTAAGGACAGATCCAAGAATCAAGACCAAGTTGGACTGTCTCCAAAGTCCATGCGCTTTCCTGCACTTGTATCATGCTCTGGCACACATTTCCATCTTAATGTGCCCACACTGAGACATCCGTGCACACTTATGCACAGCCTGTAAACTGTTAATCACGCCCCTGTACCCACATACCCACCAGCATTGTGCAACAGTGCCACCCATAGATTTTGAATAGAACTTTATGGCTTTCAAGTACAAACATGCACTATCAGCTGGTTCACATGACATAATCTTCATTGACTGGTATATTCCCACACCTACCTCAATAAAACACACTCACTCATTTATGTGCTAATGGAAGGCAGGCTGACATACATCTCTCACGGGCGATAGCTGTACATTATGCTATGAGGAAGGTGACTGGACACTACTTCCCAGTCTTCTTAAAGGGGGGCCGGGAAATGGCCTCTTTGTCCTATGACCTACCCCAACACCTCACAACACACCTGTCCTCCTTTGAGGCCCTCCCTGCCCCAAGACACGGGGCCATGTGCACATGGAGAAACAGAGCTGTGAGGAAAACCCAGGGGTCTGGTTTCCCTCCATCCATTTGCACTCTTCCCAGTTTCCTATTGTTGAACATTCTTTTTTTCTTTTCTTTTTCTTTCTTTCTTTCTTTTCTTTTTTTTTTTTTTTATAGTTTTTGGCCAGGGCTGGGTTTGAACCGGCCACCTCTGGCATCTGGAACTGGTGCCCTAATCCTTTGAGCCACAGGCACCGCCCACTTGAGCTCCTTTCTTTCCTCTCTTTGTTTTCCTATCCTACTATTCCTCAATAACTCATCCATATCCCATTTCTGAACTAAGGAAAGTTAAACAGACAAAAGTAAAGGAATTTTCTAGAGTGTTTGGCTGGGCTCAGGACTCAGAGTTCATCGGAGTGGTGCTGAAGGTTACCTGTCACCATCTATCCTGGGAACCAAGTAGGCCCTTGCCTATGCCTGGTCCTCTTCTCTCCAGCCCAGCCTAGCTGACGTAGGCTGCTGCAGGGGTGGGAGGAGATTTTAGAGCCACTCTCTACAGAAACTATTCACAGATTATTTCCTAAACAATTCTTCCTTTCTAGAGATTGAAGGTCTCACCCTCAAGGCACTTACAGGACACACAAGGTGACCTTTATTCTCATTTTCTCCCTACCCCTCTCCCAACTCCTCTGGTTCTTTCTACCTCCCCAGGGCATTACAAGGATAGAAATGATACCTTGTTGGATTTTGGTAGGTCCTAACAAAATGTCAGCTTCAGGAGCCCAGATCAGTTGTGGGAGGAGACAGGGGAAAGAAAAGGAAAGGAATCAACTAAACAGAGCTTCAGCTTTAATGACTTGTCGGACTCCCTGCTGGATGGCAACAACTTGACATTTTAGCACCCAATGAGTGTCAGTTGTATCTCTATCATGAGAAAGCCAGTCTCTGAAATGGCTCTTTAAATGCATTAAAGTATATTTTAAGCTCATCTGCTGAGGCTGTGTGTGGAGGCATTGCCTAACTGTTCAGTAAACTTGTCTTGGGGGAATTACAATTTAGAGCAGATGTGTGGTCCCATTAAGGAAAACGTCTGCTTTGGCTGACTGGCCTGTGGGGGCTGCGAAATGATGCCCCTTCACAGCTGATTATTGTTCGAAAGGTAAGCTCTTCATCTAAAACTCCCCAGATTCCAGGGAGACAGGCTCTGCAGGGGAGGTGCTGTCGAAAGAGGCTCTGATGGCTGTCCCACCTCTGGCCGGCAGGATTCAGGGACAGGCAGGATTATGATTTCTTTGGTGGCTGCAGATCTTCACTCTCGCAAAGCAGCTTTCCCCCTTGACTAGTTGAGTGGTTAGGGGATGAGAGAAGAGGAATCCTTCTTCCACTTCATTCTCATCCCCATTCCTGCTATAGATAGGAGGTAGTCAGTGTGACTCCAGGGGGACCATAGGCTGATCTTCTGGTCTTCCAGATCACAGGTTCCTGATCTTCTGTGGCAGCCTGTTTTCTGGAAACCCAGCAGCCTTGGTGGCCTGTTTCCTCCAGCAGCAGGTTTGAGGTCTAGAACAGATAAAAATAAATCTATCCATAAAAATAACCACAAGATGTGGGAAAATGGAGTTGGCCCTCCTGGGGCAATAGGGAGGGCACTGCCACAAGCATCAGAAATTCATAGTGGACTATTCTGCAGGCTTTGCTTAGCCTCCGAGGAGTCCCTCTTCTCCCTGTCATCCTCTTGACCTTACAGTTTCCCTGTTTCTTGCTCTCCTCAGCCAGGTGCTGTGGTCTCCCCAGAGCAGGTCCACCTCTGCAGGGCTCACGTTGCTGTGGACCCTATCCCCAGTCCATCTCTCACTTGAAGAAAATGCAATCAGCGCCCTTTCCCCTATGTGTTTAAGAGAATATATTTCCATGCCTCTTGACAGCTCTACTTGAGTAAATCCCCTGCCATCTCCCCTAAATACAAATGGCATCAATCCCTATTATGGATACTACCATTTTTGTCTTCCCTGCTCCCTGGGCCCACCGGTTCTTTAAGGTGTTCTTTCTCCTCACTGTCAAAATGGAAACTTATTTTATTAAAGGTCCTACCTCCACCTGACCCATGCTGAGCCCATTACGTTCTTTCCAAGGTTTTTAAACTTTAAATCGCAGCAAGAACAAGGCTTGGTTTGGCAGTAAACACTGTAAGGAAAGGGGCCTTGGAAGTTTCAGGGGCCTTGTTCCCCACCACAGGGAAGAATGCAGCTCACGTGCAGAGAGGAGCAGAGAGAAAGCTAAGGGCTGAGTGCTGGCAGCATTGGAGGCAGCTGTACCTCACATCCTACTGTAGCCTTGCCTTTGCTGCACACGAGTTATATGACTCATTATGCGTGCCTACGCTAGATGAAACTGGGTTTTTTGGTCACTTGTACTATGTAATATAGAAACGTTATATAGACAGTAATACAGAAACCAACTGAGCTAGTACCTACGATTTAGGTACAGTCATTTCAGGGTATTTTATTCATTCAATAAGTATTGCTGAATACCTCCTATTCGATTCAGTATACATTTATTGAATGTCTACTGTCTCAACATCCACTGGACCCAGATAAGGTATACAGAGATAAGGCCAGGCACGGTGGCTCACACCTGTAATCCTAGTACTCTGGAAAGCCAAGGTGGGTGGATCTCTTGAGCTCAGGAATTCCAGACCAGTCTGAGTAAGAGCAGGACCCTGTCTCTACTAAAAATAGAAAAAACTAGCCTGGCATCAAGGTGGGAGGCTGTAGTCCCAGGTATTGGGAAGGCTGAGGCAAGAGGATCTCTTGAGCCCAAGAGTTTGAGGTTGCTGTGAGCTAAGATGCCACGACACTCTACACAGGGTGACGAAGAGAGACTCCATTCCCACCCCCCCCCAGAGATATATGGAGATAATAAGCTTAGAATTTAGAGGAGTGTGGGGGAAGATAGATTCATAGCATAAAAACCACAATAGAAGGTGGTACTATAGTTATTCTTGGTAACATATTTATTGAGTGCTTACTATGTGCCAGGTAGTACATGTTAAAAGATGAAGAATAAAAATATTTCGTTAGAAATTTCAGGGACTGACAAGACTACTGGAAAGCTCTAGGCGGGAGAGACAATT